TGTGTGACTGTGTGTGTGTGACTGTGTATGTGTGTGTGACTGTGTGTGTGTGACTGTGTGACTGTGTGTATGACTGTGTATGACTGTGTGTGTGTGTGACTGTGTGACTGTCTGTATGACTGTGTATGTGTAGCAGCCCGCGTGGCCATCAAGAAGATTTTGTGTGCCTTTGTGTGTATGACTGTGTGTGTGTGTGTATAACTGTGTATGACTGTGTGTGTGTGTGTGTATGACTGTGTATGACTGTGTGTGTGTGTGTGCCTGTGTGTGTATGACTGTGTGTGTGTGTGTATAACTGTATGACTGTGTGTGTGTGTGTATGACTGTGTGTGTGTGACTGTGTGTGTGTGACTGTGTATGACTGTGTGACTGTGTGTGACTGTGTGTGTGACTATGTGTGTGACTGTGTGTGTGTGTGACTGTGTATGACTGTGTGACTGTGTATGACTGTGTGTGTGACTGTGTGACTGTGTGACTGTGTATGACTGTGTGTGTGACTGTGTGTATGACTGTGTGTGTGACTGTGTGTGTGTGTGTCTGTATGACTGTGACTGTGTGTGTGTGACTGTGTGACTGTGTGTGTGTAGGGGCCCGCGTGGCCATCAAGAAGATTCCGTGTGCCTTTGACGTGACAACGACCGCCAAGAGGACTCTGTGTGTGTGTGTGGGTGACTGTCTGTATGACTGTGTGTGTGTGGGTGACTGTGTGTGTGTGGGTGACTGTGTGTGTGTGTGGGTGACTGTGTGTGTGTGTGACTGTGTGTGACTGTGTGTGTGTCACTGTGTGTGTATGACTGTGTGACTGTGTGTGTGTATGTGTGTGTGTGTGACTGTGTGTGTGTGACTGTGAGTGTGTGACTGTGAGTGTATGACTGTGTATGACTGTGTGTGACTATGTGTATGACTGTGTGACTGTGCGTGTGTATTACTGTGTGTGACTGTGTGACTGTGTGTGTGTGACTGTGTGTGTATGACTGTGTGTGTGTATGACTGTGTGTGACTGTGTGTGTGTGACTGTGTGTGTGACTGTGTGTGTGACTGTGTGTGTGACTGTGTGTGACTGTGTGTGTGTGACTGTGTGTGTGTGTGACTGTGTGTGACTGTGTGTGTGTGTGTGACTGTGTGTGTGTGACTGTGTGTGTGTGTGACTGTGTATGACTGTATGACTGTGTATGACTGTGTGACTGTGTGTGTGACTGTGTGTGTGTGACTGTGTGTGTATGACTGTGTGTGTGTGTGTATTACTGTGTGTGACTGTGTGTGTGTGTGACTGTGTATGACTGTGTGTGACTGTGTGTGTGTGACTGTATGACTGTATGACTGTGTGTGACTGTGTATGACTGTGTGACTGTGTATGACTGTGTGACTGTGTGTGTGACTGTGTGTGACTGTGTGTGACTGTATGACTGTGTGTGTGTGTAGGAGCCCGCGTGGCCATCAAGAAGATTCCGTGTGCCTTTGACGTGACAACGACCGCCAAGAGGACTCTGTGTGTGTGTATGACTGTGTATGACTGTGTGTGTGACTGTGTGTGTGACTGTGTGACTGTGTGTGTGACTGTGTGTGTGACTGTGTGACCGTGTGTGTGACTGTGTGTGTGTGACTGTGTGACTGTGTGTGTGACTGTGTGTGTGACTGTGTGTGTGACTGTGTGACTGTGTGTGTGACTGTGTGTGTGACTGTGTGACCGTGTGTGTGACTGTGTTTGTATGACTGTGTGTGTGTGTGTGACTATGTGTGTGACTGTGTGACTGTATGTGTATGACTGTGTGTGACTGTGTGTGTGTGTGACTGTGTGTGACTGTGTATGTCTGTGTGTGACTGTGTGTGACTGTGTGTGACTGTGTGTGTGACTGTGTGACTGTGTGTGTGTGTAGGAGCCCGCGTGGCCATCAAGAAGATTCCGTGTGCCTTTGACGTGACAACGACCGCCAAGAGGACTCTGTGTGTGTGTGTGGGTGACTGTGTGTGTGTGACTGTGTGACTGTGTGTGTGTGACTGTGTGTGTGTGTGACTGTGTGTGTGTGTGACTGTGTGTGTGTGTGACTGTGTGTGTGTGTGACTGTGTGTGTGTGACTGTGTGTGTGTCACTGTGTGTGTGTCACTGTGTGTGTAGGACTGTGTGTGACTGTGTGTGTATGACTGTGTGACTGTGTGTATGACTGTGTGTGTGTGACTGTGTGTGTGTGACTGTGTGTGTGTAGGGGCACACGTGGCCATCAAGAAGATTCCGTGTGCCTTTGACGTGACAACGACCGCCAAGAGGACTCTGTGTGTGTGTGTGACTGTGTGTGTGTGTGTGACTGTGTGTATGACTGTGTGTGACTGTGTGTGACTGTGTGTGTGTAGGGGCACGCGTGGCCATCAAGAAGATTCCGTGTGCCTTTGACGTGACAACGACCGCCAAGAGGACTCTGTGTGTGTGTGTGGGTGACTGTGTGTGTGTGACTGTGTGTGTGACTGTGTGTGTGACTGCGTGTGTGTGACTGTGTGTGACTGTGTGACTGTGTGTGTGTGACTGTGTGTGTGTGTAGGGGCACGCGTGGCCATCAAGAAGATTCCGTGTGCCTTTGACGTGACAACGACCGCCAAGAGGACTCTGTGTGTGTGTGTGGGTGACTGTGTGTGTGTGACTGTGTGTGTGTGTGACTGTGTGTGTGACTGCGTGTGTGTGACTGTGTGTGTGTGTGTGACTGTGTGTGACTGTGTGTGTGTGTGTGTGACTGTGTGTGACTGTGTATGACTGTGTGTGTGTGTGTGACTGTGTGTGTGTGACTGTGTGTGACTGTGTGTGTGTGTGACTGTGTGTGTATGACTGTGTGACTGTGTGTGACTGTGTGACTGTGTGTGTGTGTGTGTAGGGGCACGCGTGGCCATCAAGAAGATTCCGTGTGCCTTTGACGTGACAACGACCGCCAAGAGGACTCTGTGTGTGTGTGTGGGTGACTGTGTGTGTGTGACTGTGTGTGTGACTGTGTGTGTGACTGCGTGTGTGTGACTGTGTGTGACTGTGTGACTGTGTGTGTGACTGTGTGTATGACTGTATGTGTGTAGGGGCACGCGTGGCCATCAAGAAGATTCCGTGTGCCTTTGACGTGACAACGACCGCCAAGAGGACTCTGTGTGTGTGTGTGTGGGTGACTGTGTGTGTGTGACTGTGTGACTGTGTGTGTGTGACTGTGTGTGTGTGTAGGAGCACGCGTGGCCATCAAGAAGATTCCGTGTGCCTTTGACGTGACAACGACCGCCAAGAGGACTCTGTGTGTGTGTGACTGTGTGTGTGACTGTGTGACTGTGTGACTGTGTGTGTATGTGTATGACTGTGTGACTGTGTGTGACTGTGTGTGTGTAGGAGCCCGCGTGGCCATCAAGAAGATTCCGTGTGCCTTTGACGTGACAACGACCGCCAAGAGGACTCTGTGTGTGTGTGTGGGTGACTGTCTGTATGACTGTGTATGACTGTGTGTGTGACTGTGTGTGACTGTGTGACTGTGTGTGTATGTGTAGGGGCACGCGTGGCCATCAAGAAGATTCCGTGTGCCTTTGACGTGACAACGACCGCCAAGAGGACTCTGTGTGTGTGTGTGTGTGGGTGACTGTGTGTGTGTGACTGTGTGTGACTGTGTGTGTATGACTGTGTGACTGTGTGACTGTGTGTGTAGGGGCACGCGTGGCCATCAAGAAGATTCCGTGTGCCTTTGACGTGACAACGACCGCCAAGAGGACTCTGTGTGTGTGTATGACTGTGTGTGTGTGTGACTGTGTGTGTGTGACTGTGTGTGTGTGTGACTGTGTGTGTGTGACTGTGTGTGTGTCACTGTGTGTGTGTCACTGTGTGTGTGTCACTGTGTGTGTGTCACTGTGTGTGTATGACTGTGTGTGACTGTGTGTGTATGACTGTGTGACTGTGTGTGTGTGACTGTGTGTGTGTGACTGTGTGTGTGACTGTGTGTGTATGTGTAGGAGCACGCGTGGCCATCAAGAAGATTCCGTGTGCCTTTGACGTGACAACGACCGCCAAGAGGACTCTGTGTGTGTGTGTGTGTGTATGACTGTGTGTGTGTGTGACTGTGTGTGTGTGACTGTGTGTGTGTGTATGACTGTGTGTGTGTGACTGTGTGTGTGTCACTGTGTGTGTGTCACTGTGTGTGTATGACTGTGTGTGACTGTGTGTGTATGACTGTGTGACTGTGTGTGTGTGACTGTGTGTGTGTGACTGTGTGTGTGACTGTGTGTGTATGTGTAGGAGCACGCGTGGCCATCAAGAAGATTCCGTGTGCCTTTGACGTGACAACGACCGCCAAGAGGACTCTGTGTGTGTGTGTGGGTGACTGTGTGTGTGTATGTGTATGTCTGTGTGACTGTGTGTGACTGTGTGTGTGTAGGAGCCCGCGTGGCCATCAAGAAGATTCCGTGTGCCTTTGACGTGACAACGACCGCCAAGAGGACTCTGTGTGTGTGTGTGTGTATGACTGTGTGTGTGTGTGACTGTGTGTGTGTGACTGTGTGTGTGTGTGACTGTGTGTGTGTGACTGTGTGTGTGTCACTGTGTGTGTGTCACTGTGTGTGTATGACTGTGTGTGACTGTGTGTGTATGACTGTGTGACTGTGTGTGTGTGACTGTGTGTGTGACTGTGTGTGTATGTGTAGGAGCACGCGTGGCCATCAAGAAGATTCCGTGTGCCTTTGACGTGACAACGACCGCCAAGAGGACTCTGTGTGTGACTGTGTGTGACTGTGTGTGTGTGTGACTGTGTGTGTGTGACTGTGTGTGTGTGACTGTGTGTGACTGTGTGTGTATGACTGTGTGACTGTGTGACTGTGTGTGTAGGGGCACGCGTGGCCATCAAGAAGATTCCGTGTGCCTTTGACGTGACAACGACCGCCAAGAGGACTCTGTGTGTGTGTGTGGGTGACTGTGTGTGTGTGACTGTGTGTGTGTGACTGTGTATGTGTGTGACTGTGTGTGGGTGACTGTGTGTGTGTGACTGTGTGACTGTGTGTGTGTGTGACTGTGTGTGTGTGACTGTGTGTGTGTGACTGTGTGTGACTGTGTGTGTATGACTGTGTGACTGTGTGTGTAGGGGCACGCGTGGCCATCAAGAAGATTCCGTGTGCCTTTGACGTGACAACGACCGCCAAGAGGACTCTGCGTGAACTCAAGATGCTGCTCCACTTCAAGCACGACAACGTCATCGCCATCCGGGACCTACTGCTGCCGCAAGACCCACGCAACTTCAAGGACGTGTGAGGGCCCGCCACGTGGAGACACGTGTCTCTAAGTGTCTCCATGTGTCTTCATGTGTCTCCACCTGTCTCCACGTGTCTACACGCGTCTCCACGTGTCTCCACGCGTCTCCACGTATCTCCACGCGTCTCCACGTGTCTCTAAGTGTCTCTAAGTGTCTCTAAGTGTCTTTACGTGTCTCTAAGTGTCTCTAAGTGTCTCTAAGTGTCTCCACGTGTCTTCGCGTGCCTCTAAGTGTCTCTAAGTGTCTACACGTGTCTCTAAGTGTCTCTAAGTGTCTCTAAGTGTCTACACGTGTCTCTAAGTGTCTCTAAGTGTCTACACATGTCTACACGTGTCTCTAAGTGTCTCTAAGTGTCTCTAAGTGTCTACACGTGTCTCTAAGTGTCTCTAAGTGTCTACACGTGTCTCTAAGTGTCTCTAAGTGTCTCCACGTGTCTCCATGTGTCTACAAGTGTCTCTAAGTGTCTCTAAGTGTCTCTAAGTGTCTCTAAATGTCTACACGTGTCTCTAAGTGTCTCTAAGTGTCTCCACGTGTCTACACGCGTCTCCACGTGTCTCCACGCGTCTCCACGTGTCTCCACGCGTCTCCACGTGTCTTCGCGTGCCTCTAAGTGTCTACACGTGTCTCTAAGTGTCTCTAAGTGTCTCTAAGTGTCTACACGTGTCTCTAAGTGTCTCTAAGTGTCTACACATGTCTACACGTGTCTCTAAGTGTCTCTAAGTGTCTCTAAGTGTCTACACGTGTCTCTAAGTGTCTCTAAGTGTCTACACGTGTCTCCACGTGTCTCTAAGTGTATCTAAGTGTCTCCACGTGTCTCTAAGTGTCTCTAAGTGTCTCTAAGTGTCTCTAAGTGTCTACACGTGTCTCTAAGTGTCTCTAAGTGTCTCTAAGTGTCTACACGTGTCTCTAAGTGTCTACACGTGTCTCTAAGTGTCTCTAAGTGTCTCCACGTGTCTCTAAGTGTCTCTACGTGTCTCTAAGTGTCTCTAAGTGTCTCTAAGTGTCTACACGTGTCTCTAAGTGTCTCTAAGTGTCTCTAAGTGTCTACACGTGTCTCTAAGTGTCTACACGTGTCTCTAAGTGTCTCTAAGTGTCTTTACGTGTCTCTAAGTGTCTCTAAGTGTCTCTAAGTGTCTCCACGTGTCTTCGCGTGCCTCTAAGTGTCTCTAAGTGTCTACACGTGTCTCTAAGTGTCTCTAAGTGTCTCTAAGTGTCTACACGTGTCTCTAAGTGTCTCTAAGTGTCTACACGTGTCTCCACGTGTCTCTAAGTGTCTCTAAGTGTCTACACGTGTCTCCACGTGTCTCTAAGTGTCTCTAAGTGTCTACACGTGTCTCCACGTGTCTCTAAGTGTCTCTAAGTGTCTACACGTGTCTCCACGTGTCTCTAAGTGTCTCTAAGTGTCTCCACGTGTCTCTAAGTGTCTCTAAGTGTCTCTAAGTGTCTCTAAGTGTCTCCACGTGTCTCCACGTGTCTCTAAGTGTCTCTAAGTGTCTCTAAGTGTCTACACGTGTCTCTAAGTGTCTCTAAGTGTCTCTCAGTGTCTACACGTGTCTCCACGTGTCTTCGCGTGCCTCTAACTGTCTCTAAGTGTCTACACGTGTCTCTAACTGTCTCTAAGTGTCTACACGTGTCTCTAAGTGTCTCTAAGTGTCTCCACATGTCTCTAAGTTTCTCTAAGTGTCTCTAAGTGTCTCCACCCGTCCCCCACGTGTCTCCACCCATCCCCCACGTTTCCCTACGTGTCCCCCACGTGTCCCCCACGTGTCCCCCACGTTACCTCCGCTAGCTACGTGGTCCTGGACCTCATGGAGAGCGACCTGCACCAGATCATCCACTCGTCACAGTCGCTGAGCGCCGAGCACGTGCGATACTTCCTGTACCAGCTGCTGCGGGGCCTCAAGTTCGTGCACTCGGCACGGGTCCTCCACCGCGACCTGAAGCCCTCCAACCTGCTGGTGAACGAGACGTGCGAGTTGAAGATCGGAGACTTCGGCATGGCGCGGGGGATGGCCTCCCTGTCGCCGGGAGGGCACCAGGCTCAGCCGGTGAGGACGCCATGGGGGTGGGTGGGCGGGTGGGTGGGTTGGTGGGTTGGTGGGTGGGTTGGTTGGTTGGTGGGTGGGTGGGTGGGTTGGTGGGTGGGTGAGTGGGTGAGTGGGTGGGTGGGTTTGTGGGTGAGTGGGTTGGTGGGTGAGTGGGTGAGTGGGTGGGTGGGTGAGTGAGTGAGTGAGTGGGTGAGTGAGTGGGCGAGTGGGTGGGCGGGTGGGTGAGTGGGTTGGTGGGTGAGTGGGTGGGTGAGTGAGTGGGTGAGTGGGTGGGTGGGTGGGTGAGTGGGTGGGTGGGTTGGTGGGTGAGTGAGTGAGTGGGTGGGTGGGTTGGGGAGTGAGTGGGTGGGTGGGTGGGTGAGTGAGTGAGTGAGTGGGCGGTTGGGTGGGTTGGTGGGTTGGTGGGCGAGTGGGTGGGTTGGTGGGTGGGTGAGTGTGTGAGTGGGTGGGTGAGTGGGTGAGTGGGTGGGCTGGTGAGTGGATTGGTGAGTGAGTGGGTGGGTGGGTGGGTTGGTGGGTGAGTGAGTGGGTGGGTGGGTGAGTGTGTGGGTGAGTGGGTGGGTGGGTGGGTGAGTGGGTGAGTGAGTGGGTGGGTGAGTGGGTGGGTGAGTGGGTGGGTGAGTGGGTGGGTGGGTGGGTGAGTGGGTGGGTGAGTGGGTGACTGAGTGAGTGGGTGAGTGAGTGGGTCGATGGATGGTTGTTTGGGTGACTTGAGTGTGTGAGTGGATTGATAGGTAGATGATTTAGTGGGTGGGTGAATGGGTGGGTGAGTGAGTGTGTGCATGGGTGGGTGATTTGGTGAGTGATTGTGTGATTGAGTGAGTGGGTGGGTGAGTGTCTCCCCCCTCCACCGTGTCTCCACCCTCCACCGTGGCTCTCCCCGTGTCTCCCCGTGTCTCCCATCATCTCCCCCGTGTCTCCCATCATCTCCCCCGTGTCTCCCATCATCTCCCCCGTGTCTCCAATTGCAGGATTCTGAGAACTGCCTCATGACGGAGTACGTCGCGACCAGATGGTACAGGGCACCAGAGCTGATGTTGGCCTTGCATCACTACACTCAGGTACCGGATTACTCACCACAGGCTCACCACACACTCACCACACAGAGACCCATAGACTCACCACACAGAGACCCATAGACTCACCACACAGAGGGACATAGACTCAACACACAGAGACCCATAGACTCACACAGAGACCCATAGACTCAACACACAGAGGGCCACACACTCACCACACAGAGACCCACAGACTCACCACACAGAGACCCACAGACTCACCACACAGAGACCCATAGACTCAACACACAGAGACCCATAGACTCACACAGAGACCCATAGACTCACCACACAGAGGGCCACACACTCACCACACACTCACCACACAGAGAGCCACAGACTCACCACACAGAGACCCATAGACTCACCACACAGAGACCCACAGACTCACCACAGACTCACCACACAGAGACCCACAGACTCACCACACACAGAGACTCACACACTCACCACACACTCACCACACACAGAGACCCACACACTCACCACACAGAGACCCACACACTCACCACACACTCACCACACAGAGACCCACAGACTCACCACACACACAGACCCACACACTCACCACACACTCACCACACACAGAGACTCACCACACACTCACCACACACTCACCACACACTCACCACACACTGAGACCCACACACTCACCATACACTCACCATACACTCACCACACACTCACCACATGGAGACCCATAGGCTCCTTACACACTCACCACACTTACCACACACTCACCACACACTCACCATACACATAGACTCCCCACACACTCACCACACACTCACCACACACTCACCACACACTCCCCACACACTCCCCACACACTCACCACACACTCACCACACACTCACCACACACCACACACTCACCACACACTCACCACACACTCCCCACACACTCACCACACACTCCCCACACACTCACCACACACTCACCACACACTCACCACACACCACACACTCACCACACACCACACACACACTCACCACACACTCACCACACACTCACCACACACAGAGACCCACCACACACTCACCACACACTCACCACACACACTCACCACTCACTCACCACACACTCACCACACATTCACCACACACAGAGACCCACCACACACTCACCACCCACTCACCACACTCACCACACACACAGAGACCTACAGACTCACCACACGGAGACCCACAGACTCACCACACACTCACCACACACAGAGACCAAATAGACTCACCACACAGAGACCCACACACTCACAACACACTCACCACACACTCACCACACACTCACCACACACTCACCACACACTCACCACACACAGAGACCCAAACACAGAGACCCACCACACACTCACCACACACTCACCACACACTCACCACACACTCACCACACACTCACCACACACTCACCACACACAGAGACCCACACACATAGACCCACCACACACTCACCACACACTCACCACACACTCACCACACACTCCCCACACACTCACCACACACTCCCCACACACTCACCACACAATCACCACACACTCACCACACACCACACACTCACCACACACCACACACACACTCACCACACACTCACCACACACTCACCACACACAGAGACCCACCACACACTCACCACACACTCACCACACACACTCACCACTCACTCACCACACACTCACCACACATTCACCACACACAGAGACCCACCACACACTCACCACCCACTCACCACACTCACCACACACACAGAGACCTACAGACTCACCACACGGAGACCCACAGACTCACCACACACTCACCACACACAGAGACCAAATAGACTCACCACACAGAGACCCACACACTCACAACACACTCACCACACACTCACCACACACTCACCACACACTCACCACACACTCACCACACACAGAGACCCAAACACAGAGACCCACCACACACTCACCACACACTCACCACACACTCACCACACACTCACCACACACTCACCACACACTCACCACACACAGAGACCCACACACATAGACCCACCACACACTCACCACACACTCACCACACACTCACCACACTCTCACCACACACTCACCACACACAGAGACCCACACATAGAGACCCACCACACACTCACCACACACTCACCACACACTCACCACACACTCACCACACACAGAGACCCAAACACAGAGACCCACCACACACTCACCACACACTCACCACACACTCACCACACACTCACCACACACTCACCACACACTCACCACACACTCACCACACACAGAGACCCACCACACACTCACCACACACTCACCACACACTCACCACACACTCACCACACACTCACCACACACTCACCACACACAGAGACCCAAACACAGAGACCCACCACACACTCACCACACACTCACCACACACTCACCACACACTCACCACACACTCACCACACACTCACCACACACAGAGACCCACACACAGAGACCCACCACACACTCACCACACACTCACCACACACTCACCACACACTCACCACACACTCACCACACACACAGAGACCCACCACACTCCCCACACACTCACCACACAGAGACCCACACACTCACCACACACTCACCACACACAGAGAGACTCACACACTCACCACACACTCACCACACACTCACCACACACACAGAGACCCATAGACTCACCACACAGAGACCCATAGACTCACCACCACCACCACCACACAGATACCCATAGACTCACCACACACTCACCACACACTCACCACACACTCACCACACACTCACCACACACACAGAGACTCCCCACACACACAGAGACCCACACACTCACCACACACACAGAGACCCACACACTCACCACACACTCACCACACACACTCACCACACACTCACCACACACTCACCACACACACAGAGACCCACACACTCACCACACACTCACCACACACACTCACCACTCACTCACCACTCACTCACCACACACACTCACCACACACTCACCACACACACTCCCCACACACTCACCACACACTCACCACACACTCACCACACACTCCCCACACACACAGAGACCCACACACTCACCACACACTCACCACACACACTCACCACACACTCACCACACACAGAGACCCACACACTCACCACACACTCACCACACACACTCACCACACACTCACCACACACTCACCACACACACAGAGACCCACCAAACTCACCACCACCACCGCTGTGTGCAGGCTGTGGACATGTGGTCTGTGGGGTGCATCTTTGCTGAGATGCTGTCACGGAGACTCACACACTCACCACACACTCACCACACACTCACCACACACTCACCACACACTCACCACACAGAGACCCATAGACTCACCACACAGAGAGACTCACACACTCACCACACAGAGAGACTCACACACTCACCACTCACTCACACACACTCACCACACACTCACCACACAGAGACCCACAGACTCACCACACAGAGACCCACACACTCACCACACACACAGGGACCCACACACTCACCACACACAGAGAGACTCACACACTCACCACACACTCACCACACACTCACCACACACACAGAGACCCACACACTCACCACACACACAGAGACCCACACACTCACCACACACTCACCACACACTCACCACACACTCACCACACACACACCACACACACTCACCACACACACAGAGACCCACCACACAGAGACCCACACACTCACCATACACCACACACACAGACACCCATAGACTCGCACACTCACCACACACTCACCACACACAGAGACCCACACACTCACCACACACTCACCACACACTCACCACACACTCACCACACACTCACCACACACAGAGAGACCCACACACTCACCACACACTCACCACACACTCACCACACACACTGAGACCCACCACACACTCACCACACAGAGACCCACACACTCACCACACACACTCACCACACACTCACCACACACTCACCACACACTCATCACACACTCACCACACACAGAGACCCACACACTCACCACACACACAGAGACCCACACACTCACCACACACTCACCACACACAGAGAGACTCACACACTCACCACACACTCACCACACACTCACCACACACTCACCACACACACAGAGACCCACACACTCACCACACACTCACCACACACACTCACCACACACTCACCACACACTCACCACACACACAGAGACCCACCAAACTCACCACCACCGCTGTGTGCAGGCTGTGGACATGTGATCTGTGGGGTGCATCTTTGCTGAGATGCTGTCACGGAGACTCACACACTCACCACACACTCACCACTCACTCACCACACACTCACCACACACTCACCACACACTCACCACACACTCACCACACACTCACCACACACTCACCACACACACAGAGACCCACACACTCCCCACACACTCACCACACACTCACCACACACTCACCACACACTCACCACACACTCACCACTCACTCACCACACACTCACCACACACACTCACCACACACTCACCACACACTCACCACACACACAGAGACCCACCAAACTCACCACCACGACGGCTGTGTGCAGGCTGTGGACATGTGGTCTGTGGGGTGCATCTTTGCTGAGATGCTGTCACGGAGGCTCACACACTCACCACACACTCACCACACACTCACCACACACTCACCACACACTCACCACACACTCACCACACAGAGAGACTCACACACTCACCACACACTCACCACACACTCACCACTCACACAGAGACCCACACACTCCCCACACACTCACCACACACTCACCACACACACAGAGACCCACACACTCACCACACACTTACCACACACACTCACCACACACACAGAGACCCATAGACTCACCACACAGAGACCCATAGACTCACCACCACCACCACACAGATACCCATAGACTCACCACACACTCACCACACACTCACCACACACTCACCACACACTCACCAGACACTCACCACACACTCACCACACACACAGAGACTCCCCACACACACACAGACCCACACACTCACCACACACTCACCACACAGAGACCCACAAACTCACCACACACTCACCACAGACTCCCCACACACTCACCACACACTCACCACACACAGAGACCCATACACTCACCACACACTCACCACACACACTCACCACACACTCACTACACACTCACCACACACTCACCACACACTCACCACACACACAGAGACCCACCAAACTCACCACCACCGCTGTGTGCAGGCTGTGGACATGTGGTCTGTGGGGTGCATCTTTGCTGAGATGCTGTCACGGAGACTCACACACTCACCACACACTCACCACACACTCACCACACACTCACACACACTCACCACACACACAGAGACCCACCAAACTCACCACGACGGCTGTGTGCAGGCTGTGGACATGTGGTCTGTGGGGTGCATCTTTGCTGAGATGCTGTCACGGAGACTCACACACTCACCACACACTCACCACACACTCACCACACACACAGAGACTCCCCACACACACAGAGACCCACACACTCACCACACACTCACCACACACTCACCACACACTCACCACACACACTCACCACACACTCACCACACACTCACCACACACACAGAGACCCACACACTCACCACACACTCACCACACACACTCACCACTCACTCACCACTCACTCACCACACACACTCACCACACACTCACCACACACACTCCCCACACACTCACCACACACTCACCACACACTCACCACACACTCCCCACACACACAGAGACCCACACACTCACCAAACACTCACCACACACACTCACCACACACTCACCACACACAGAGACCCACACACTCACCACACACTCACCACACACACTCACCACACACTCACCACACACTCACCACACACACAGAGACCCACCAAACTCACCACCACCACCGCTGTGTGCAGGCTGTGGACATGTGGTCTGTGGGGTGCATCTTTGCTGAGATGCTGTCACGGAGACTCACACACTCACCACACACTCACCACACACTCACCACACACTCACCACACACTCACTACACAGAGACCCATAGACTCACCACACAGAGAGACTCACACACTCACCACACAGAGAGACTCACACACTCACCACTCACTCACACACACTCACCACACACACTCACCACACACTCACCACACACACAGAGACCCACCAAACTCACCACGATGGCTGTGTGCAGGCTGTGGACATGTGGTCTGTGGGGTGCATCTTTGCTGAGATGCTGTCACGGAGGCAGCTGTTCCCCGGCCGCAACTACCTCCACCAGCTACAGCTCATCCTGGCCGTGCTGGGGACACCCCCACCAGAGCTCACACAGGTGGGCGGGAGGAGGGGTGGGTGGGTGAGGGGGTGGGTGGGTGGGTGAGAGGGTGGGTGGGTGGGCGAGAGGGTGGGTGGGTGGGCGAGAGGGTGGGTGGGTGGGCGAGAGGGTGGGTGGGTGGGCGAGAGGGTGGGTGGGTGGGTGTGTGAGAGGGTGGGTGGGTGGGTGGGTGGGTGAGAGGGTGGGTGGGTGGGTGGGTGAGAGGGTGGGAGGGTGGGTGGGTGGGTGGGTGGGTGAGAGGGTGGGTGGGTGGGTGAGAGGTTGGGTGGGTGGGTGAGAGGTTGGGTGGGTGGGTGAGAGGTTGGGTGGGTGGGCGGGATGGTGGGTGGGTGAGAGGGTGGGTGGGTGGGTGGGTGAGAGGGTGGGCGGGATGGTGGGCGGGCGGGCGAGTCGGTGAAAAGATGTGTGGATGGCATAATTGCAGCCTGGATGCTCTTTCCCTCCCACCCCCACCCCCACCACCACCCCCACCACCACCACCACACCCACCACCACCACCACCACCACCCCCACTCACCACCACCACCACCACCACCCCCACTCACCACCACCACCACCACCCACCACCACCACCTCCACCACCACCACCCACCCACCACCCACACCCACGCAGGCCATCGGCGCTGAGCGTGTGCGTGCCTACGTGCTCAGCCTGCCCCCGCGCTCGCCCGCCCCGCTGGGCCCCCTCTTGGGGGGCTCCGCCGTGGCCGCGGCCGCGGCCTCGTGTGACCCCCAGGCCGTGGAGCTGCTGGGACTGCTCCTGCGGCTGTCTCCCGGCGAACGTCCGAGTGCGGCGGCGGCGCTCAGCCACCCCTACCTGGCACAGTATCACGACTCCAGCGACGAACCTGACTGCGTCCCCGCGTTCGACTTCAGCTTCGACAGGCCCACACTCAGCCGTCACGAGGTGCGTGGGGTGAGGTGGGTGGGTGTGGGTTGGGTGGGTGGGTTGGTGGGTGGGTGGGTGGGTTGGTGAGTGGGTGAGTTGGTTGGTGGGTGAGTGGGTTGGTGGGTTGGTGAGTGGGTTGGTTGGTGAGTGGGTGGGTGAGTGGATTGGTGGGTGGGTTGGTGGGTGAGTGGGTTGGTGGGTTGGTGGGTTGGTGGGTGAGTGGGTGGGTGAGTGGGTTGGTGGGTGGGTGAGTGGGTGGGTTGGTGGGTGGGTTGGTGGGTGAGTGGGTTGGTGGGTGAGTGGGTTGGTGGGTTGGTGGGTTGGTGGGTGAGTGGGTGGGTGAGTGGGTTGGTGGGTGGGTGAGTGGGTGGGTTGGTGGGTGGGTTGGTGGGTGAGTGGGTTGGTGGGTGAGTGGGTGAGTGGGTTGGTGGGTGAGTGGGTGAGTGGGTGGGTGAGTGGGTTGGTGGGTGGGTTGGTGAGTGGGTGGGTGGGTGAGTGGGTTGGTGAGTGGGTGGGTTGGTGAGTGGGTGAGTGGGTGGGTGGGTTGGTGAGTTGGTGGGTGAGTGAGTGGGTTGGTGGGTGAGTGGGTGGGTTGGTGGGTTGGTGGGTGAGTGGGTTGGTGGGTGAGTGGGTGAGTGGGTTGGTGGGTGAGTGGGTGAGTGGGTGGGTGGGTGAGTCGGTGGGTTGGTGGGTAGGTGAGTGGGTGAGTTGGTGGGTGAGTGGGTGAGTGAGTGAGTGAGTGGGTGGGTGAGTGAGTGGGTGGGTGGGTTGGTGAGTGGGTGAGTGGGTGGGTGGGTGGGTGAGTGAGTGAGTGGTTTGGGGGGTTGGTGGGTGAGTGAGTGGGTGGGTGGGTGGGTTGGTGGGTGGGTGGGTTGGTGGGTGAGTGAGTGGGTGAGTGGGTGGGTGGGTGAGTGGGTTGGTGAGTGAGTGGGTGGGTGAGTGGGTGGGTGGGTGGGTTGGTGAGTGAGTGGGTGGGTGGGTTGGTGGGTGAGTGGATGAATAAGTGAGTTGGTGGGTGACTGAGTGGGTGACTGAGTGGGCGAGCTAGCAGCAGGTGCTTTTGTGAGCAGATGATCGTTTGGTTGGGTGCACCTAGCCTGGCACCGCCACACCCCCCACCACTCCCTTCACCCCCCCGCCCCCTCTTGCAGGCCAGAGACGCGGTGCTGACGGAGATTCAGGCGTTTCATGCCAAACGCGAGGGCATCCAACGCAAGATCACCGTCCGGCCTCACCTCCGCCCAGCCAGCAGCAGCAGCAGCAGCATCAGCAGCGGCATCAGCAGCGGAATCATCAGCGGCGGCAGCAGCTCCCGGCACAGTAACGGGGACGGCGGCTGCACCTTCGGCGTTGGCAGCGGCAAGCACAGTCATGCTCATCAGCAGCATCATCAGCAGCAGCAGCAGCATCATCAGCAGCAGCAGCAGCATCAGCAGCAGCATCAGCAGCAGCAGCATCAGCAGCAGCAGCATCAGCAGCAGCAGCAGCAACCGAGTGCCAGGTACGTGGACGTCGTGAAAGCGACGTGCTTGATCGACAGTTGAGTTTAGTAAACGCGCATTTTAATCATGGGGACTGTCGCTGTTGTTCTTGTTTTGGCGTCTTCTGGTCCAACACCAGTGTGAGAGACTAAAGGGCTCTAAAGAAAGCCGTCTCGGGTGTGGACCAATCAAATTCAAGGACAGTGCCAATATTATTATTATCAGAGTTGTCTCTTTTTTTGTTTGCATTTTGACTGCTTGTGTTGTGGTTATTGCAGACATGATGCCTTGAATAAAGGTGTCAGTTTTTTTTGTGCCAGTTAAAAAGGGTAAAACCTATTGCTATAACCCCCTACCTCCTCGCGGTGCCGGACGGGCAACTCTGTCGTGGACAGTGCTGTGGGGGGAGGGCCAATTCCGATTGGCTCCTCCCCTCATGGCATCTGTGTCCACCACAGGGGCTAAACGGGGGCTCTGGACGGGTGCGAGGGGCTGGTAACCCCTCCACCTTCAATTAATTACCACGAAACCACGAATACAACATTTAACTAATAAGCTTGTGCTGGAGGCCCCGGGGGGACAGGCGTCTATGACGTCTCCTCCAGAAACAATGAAAAGCCACTACGGATGGCCACGTGGAATGTTCAAACGCTCACTGCGGAGGAGAGGCTGCCACTCCTCTGTCGGGAGCTGGACCGGTACCGCCTGGATCTCTGTGGCATTCAGGAGGTCCGGTGGACCTGTTCTGGCTCCTGCCACCATGAGGGGTGGACAGTTCTCTATTCGGGGCAGCAGACTGCCAAACAACAGGGTGTGGCTCTTCTTTTGAACAAAATAATGAAGGGGGTGTGGGAGCGTGGCGGTGAGGTGTGGGAAGCTGTAAGTCCCAGGCTACTTTGGGCTCGCCTTTCCATCAACCGGAGGCGAGGAGTGGTGGTCGTGGTTACTTGTGCCCCCACTGAAGACAAACATCCGTGGAGGGATGCAGCCAAAGCCGATGAGTCAGATGCCTTCTATGACCTCCTGTCACAGGTGCTGGCTTAAGTGGCCCCTCGGGATAGAGTCATCTTGTTGGGTGACTTCAATGCCCGAGTTGGTCATGATGCTGGCACCTGGTCTGGAGTGATTGGAGGGCATGGGCCAGATCAGCTCAATAACAACGGTAGGAGGCTGCTAGATTTTTGTGCAGCCCATGGGCTTGTAATTACCAACACGCTGTTCCGGCATCGGCGCATCAACACAACATCATGGATGCATGCCGGGTCCAAGCAAGAACATCTGCTGATCTACCCTCTGACCATCGACTAGTCACCTGTAAGATGCGCCTGCAATTCTTCCACTCCGGTGGTGGGTGTACACCCAGGACCCCTTTCAAACCTAAGGTGGCCTGGTCTCAGTTATCTGATGAAAGTTGCAAGTGAGAATTTCATCATCGCTTGCGGCTGGGGTTGGCATCGTCCCCCACTCCTCCTGATGAGGGTAAATGGGTGAGGTTTAGGACTGTGACTCATGCAGTTGCAATGGCTGCTTTGGGTACGCGGTCCAGACCTCCCCAGAGACCCTGGCTGACAGAGGAGGTGTTCAGGATGGTTGAGAAAAAGCGACAGGCCCACTGTCATCGGCTACAGAATCCCACGTCAGAGAATGAGGAGGCTTACCGCAGCCTTCGCTCGGAGGTTCGGAGAGCCGTGGCGTCACCGCCACTTAGTGGCGAATGGCGGTTGTTGTTGTTGTGATGTGTGATGGGTGGTGTGTGTGGGGCGCGTGTGATGTGTGGTGTGGTGTGTGGTGTGTGTGTGGTGCGCGTGCGATGTGTGTGTGTGGTGTGATGCGTGTGTGTGGTGTGATGTGTGGTGTGTGTTGTGGTGCGTGTGTGATGCGCGTGTGGTGTGTGTGGGATGTGTGTGTGTGTGGTGTGTGTGTGATGTGTGTGTGATGCGTGTGTGTGGTGCGCGTGTGATGTGTGTGTGGGATGTGTGTGGTGTGTGGTGCGCGTGTGATGCGTGTGTGTGTGATGCGTGTGTGTGTGTGTGTGTGATGTGTGTGTGTGTGATGTGTGTGTGTGTGATGTGTGTGTGATGTGTGTGTGTGTGATGTGTGTGTGATGTGTCTGAGTGTGATGTGTGTGTGATGTGTGTGTGGTGTGTGTGTGTGTGATGTGTGTGTGATGCGTGTGTGATGCGTGTGCGTGTGTGATGCGTGTGTGTGATGCGCGTGTGATGCGTGTGATGTGTGTGATGCGTGATGCGTGTGTGTGTGATGTGTGTGTGTGATGCGTGTGTGTGATGCATGTGTGATGTGTGTGTGATGCGCGCGTGTGATGCGCGTGTGTGATGCGTGTGTGTGATGCGTGTGTGATGCGTGTGTGTGATGCGTGTGTGTGATGCGTGTGTGTGATGCGTGTGTGTGTGCGTGTGTGTGATGCGTGTGTGTGTGCGTGTGTGTGTGCGTGTGTGTGATGTGTGTGTGTGATGTGTGATGCGCGTGTGTGATGCGCGTGTGTGATGCGTGTGTGTGATGCGTGTGTGTGATGCGCGTGTGTGATGCGCGTGTGATGCGTGTGATGCGTGTGATGTGTGTGTGATGCGCGTGTGATGCGCGTGTGATGTGTGCGTGTGATGTGTGTGTGATGCGTGTGTGTGATGTGTGCGTGTGATGTGTCTGTGTGATGCGTGTGTGTGTGCATGTGTGTGTGCGTGTGTGCGTGTGTGTGATGCGTGTGTGTGATGCGTGTGTGTGATGTGTGTGTGATGCGTGTGTGTGATGTGTGCGTGTGTGTGATGCGTGTGTGTGATGCGTGTGTGTGATGCGTGTGTGTGATGCGTGTGTGTGATGCGTGTGTGTGATGCGTGTGTGTGATGCGTGCGTGTGATGCGTGTGTGATGCGTGTGTGTGTGCGTGTGTGTGGTGTGTGCGTGTGATGCGTGTGTGTGTGTGTGATGCGTGTGTGTGTGCGTGTGTGTGATGCGTGTGTGTGATGTGTGTGTGATGCGTGTGTGATGCGTGTGTGATGCGTGTGTGATGCGTGTGTGATGCGTGTGTGTGATGCGTGTGTGATGTGTGTGTGATGCGTGTGTGATGCGTGTGTGTGATGCGTGTGTGATGCGTGTGTGTGCGCAGAGCGGGAGTGGACGACGCGTATGGAGGGGACGTGGACATGCCCAGCGCCAGCTCCGTGTGCTCAATGGACCTGGGCCTTGCGGCCCTGGAGCCAAAGTCTCCGCTGGGGATGAGGTACAGGAGGGAGGAGGGTGCTATGGTTGTGGCCTTGTCGCGAGTGAGTGACTGCGTGTCTGCGTGTACGTGTCTGTGTGTACGTGTGTGTGTGTACGTGTGTGTGTGTACGTGTGTGTGTGTACGTGTCTGCGCGTGTGTACTTGTCTGCGTGTGTGTACGTGTCTGCGTGTATGTGTCTGCGTGTACCTGTGTGTGTACACGTGTCTGTGTGTGTACGCGCGTGTGTCTGTGTGTGTACGTGTGTGTGTACGTGTGTGTGTCTGTGTGTACGTGTGTGTACGTGTGTGTGTCTGTGTGTGTACGTGTGTGTGTCTGTGTGCGTGTACGTGTGTGTGTGTCTGTGTGTGTGTGTCTGTGTGCGTGTACATGTGTGTGTACACGTGTCTGTGTGTGTACGTGTGTGTGTCTGTGTCTGTTTGTGTACGTGTCTGCGTGTACATGTGTGTGTACGTGTGTGTGTCTGTGTGTGTGTACGTGTGTGTGTACACGTGTGTGTGTACACGTGTCTGTGTGTGTACACGTGTCTGTGAGTATGTGTACACGTGTCTGCGTGTACGTGTCTGCGTGTACGTCTGTGTGTACACGTGTCTGTGTGTGTACACGTGTCTGTGTGTGTACGTGTGTGCGTGTCTGTGTGTGTGTATACGTGTGTGCGTGTCTGTGTGTGTGTGTGTGTGTACACGTGTGTGTGTGTGTACGTGTCTGTGTGTGTGTGTGTGTACGTGTCTGTGTGTGTACGTGTCTGTGTGTACGTGTCTGTGTGTACGTGTCTGTGTGTACGAGTCTGCGTGTACGTGTCTGCGTGTGCATGTGTCTGTGTGTGTACGTGTGTGTGTGTATACGTGTGTACATGTCTGTGTGTGTGTACTTGTGTGCGTGTACGTGTCTGCGTGTACGTGTGTGTGTACACGTGTCTGTGTGTGTGTCTGTGTGTGTGTGTCTGTCTGTGTGGGTGTAGTTGTGTACGTGTCTGTGTGTGTGTATGTGTGTGCGTGTACGTGTCTGTGTGTGTGTGTACACGTGTCTGTGTGTGTGTGTACACGTGTCTGTGTGTGTGTGTACACGTGTGTGTGTGTGTGTCTCTCCCACCTCCCTCCCGCTCCTTCACGCCACACCTCCCTTCCCCCGTCACCGCACAGCAGGGACGCAGGCGCGGCCGAGGACGTCCCTGCGGAGGCCTCGACGGCACCCCCAGCGGCCCACGCGGCGTCCCAGCCGACCTCCTCCTCCTCCTCCTCCTCATCATCCTCGTCCACCACCGCCTCCACCTCCATCTCGTCGTGGGGCGGTGGCGGCGGTGGCGGTGTTGGCGTTGGTGGCGTTGGTGGTGTTGGGGGTGTTGGGGTTGGTGGCGTTGGTGGTGTTGGTGGTGGTGGTGTTGGCATTGGCGTTGGTGGTGGCGGAGGCGGTGGTGGTGTTGGCGTTGGTGTTGGTGGTGTTGGTGGTGTTGGTGGTGTTGGTGGTGTTGGTGGTGGTGTTGGTGTTGGTGGTGGTGGTGGCGTTGGTGGCATTGGTGGTGTTGGCGGTGGCGGAGGAGGCGTTGGTGGTGGCGGAGGAGGCGGTGGCGTTGTTGGCATTGGTGGCGGAGGAGGCGGTGGCGGAGGAGGCGGTGGCGGAGGAGGCGGTGGCGGAGGAGGCGGTGGCGGAGGAGGCGGTGGCGGAGGAGGCGGTGGCGGAGGCATCTCCAGCAACACGAAGGCGGCGCTCAAGGCCGTGCTGCTCAAGTCGGTGCTCAAGAACCGCGGCGCAGGTGGGGGGTGGGGGGGGGGCTCGTGGGGGGGGGGGGGGGGGCTCGTGGGGGGGGGGGGCTCGTGGGGGGGGGCTCGTGGGGGGGGGCTACCGTACCGCCGCTACCGTCGTGAGAATGTTTCCCGTGTTATTTTATTCTATCAATTTATGATCTTATTCTCGTTCCACGTGGGCGGTGACTTTACCGAAAGAACCAAAGAAGGCGAATTCACTCTGCCTATCCCGCCCGAGCTGACCTACCCTCGGTAAAAAAAAAAACTAGCCCGGGCTTTTACCCCCACCTCCTCCCCACCACCCCACCTCCTCCTCCTCCTCCTCCACCTCCTCCTCCGCCTCCGCCTCCTCCTCCTCCTCCTCCTCCTCCGCCTCCGCCTCCTCCGCCTCCTCCGCCTCCTCCGCCTCCTCCTCCGCCTCCTCCGCCTCCTCCGCCTCCTCCTCCGCCTCCTCCTCCTTCGCCTCCTCCGCCTCCTCCTCCTCCTTCGCCTCCTCCTCCTCCGCCTCCTCCTCCGCCGCCTCCTCCGCCTCCTCCTCCTCCGCCTCCTCCTCCGCCTCCTCCTCCTCTGCCTCCTCCGCCTCCTCCTCCGCCTCCTCCGCCTCCTCCTCCTCCTCCTCCTCCTCCTCCGCCTCCTCCTCCGCCTCCTCCTCCGCCTCCTCCGCCTCCTCCGCCTCCTCCGCCTCCTCCTCCGCCTCCTCCTCCACCTCCTCCGCCTCCTCCTCCGCCTCCTCCGCCTCCTCCTCCTCCTCCTCCTCCGCCTCCTCCGCCTCCTCCTCCGCCTCCTCCGCCTCCTCCGCCTCCGCCTCCGCCTCCTCCGCCTCCTCCTCCGCCTCCTCCTCCGCCTCCTCCTCCTCCGCCTCCTCCTCCGCCTCCTCCTCCGCCTCCTCCTCCGCCTCCTCCTCCTCCTCCGCCTCCTCCTCCGCCTCCTCCGCCTCCTCCGCCTCCTCCTCCTCCTCCGCCTCCTCCTCCGCCTCCTCCGCCTCCACCTCCTCCTCCTCCGCCTCCTCCTCCGCCTCCTCCTCCTCCGCCTCCTCCGCCTCCTCCTCCTCCGCCTCCGCCTCCTCCTCCGCCTCCTCCTCCTCCGCCTCCTCCTCCTCCTCCTCCTCCTCCTCCTCCTCCTCCTCCTCCGCCTCCTCCTCCTCCGCCTCCTCCGCCTCCTCCGCCTCCTCCTCCTCCTCCGCCTCCTCCGCCTCCTCCGCCTCCTCCTCCGCCTCCTCCTCCTCCTCCGCCTCCTCCGCCTCCTCCTCCTCCTCCTCTGCCTCCTCCGCCTCCTCCTCTGCCTCCTCCTCTGCCTCCTCCGCCTCCTCCTCCTCCTCCGCCTCCTCCGCCTCCTCCTTTTCCGCCTCCTCCGCCTCCTCCTCTGCCTCCTCCGCCTCCTCCTCCGCCTCCTCCTCCGCCTCCTCCTCCTCTGCCTCCGCCTCCGCCTCCTCCGCCTCCTCCTCCTCCTCTGCCTCCTCCGCCTCCTCCTCCGCCTCCTCCTCCGCCTCCTCCTCCTCCTCCTCCGCCTCCTCCGCCTCCTCCTCCTCCGCCTCCTCCTCCTCCGCCTCCTCCGCCTCCTCCTCCGCCTCCTCCTCCTCCTCCTCCTCCTCCTCCTCCTCCGCCGCCTCCGCCTCCTCCGCCTCCTCCTCCGCCTCCTCCTCCTCCTCCGCCTCCTCCTCCTCCGCCTCCTCCTCCGCCTCCTCCGCCTCCGCTTCCGCCTCCTCCTCCGCCTCCTCCTCCTCCTCCGCCTCCTCCTCCTCCTCCGCCTCCTCCTCCGCCTCCTCCTCCTCCTCCTCCTCCGCCTCCTCCTCCTCCGCCTCCTCCTCCTCCTCCGCCTCCTCCTCCGCCTCCTCCTCCTCCTCCGCCTCCTCCGCCTCCTCCGCCTCCTCCGCCTCCTCCACCTCTTCCACCTCCTCCTCTCCGCCTCCTCCTCCTCCGCCTCCACCTCCTCCTCCTCCGCCTCCTCCTCCGCCTCCTCCTCCTCCGCCTCCTCCTCCTCCTC